CAGATCGCAAGATTTCTTTTTTTAAAAAAAGATGCTACTATATCTGTGCTTTTTCAACCTTTAACTATTATAAAATACCATTGGAAGGTATCCCATATAATGCAGTTTTCATAAGGTGTTTTATGTATGGCTGACTTTGTGAAGTGTTTAGAAACCGATTGGTCCAAAGAGCTGCAGAGAGATTATTAACTGGTGCTGGCTAAAAGAAGTACGTATCTCCCTTGTTGCCACATCATCATTGATTTTGCGAGCTTGTTTTTGGCCACTATTCAAAGTGGTTGTTATGATCTAGAAAGCCCTATATGGCTCAGATCCAGGTTATCCGAATGACCCTATTGTCCTATATGAGCTTGCACCCATGTTTTGTTATCTTTTGTGGAGGCCTTTTCTCTACCTCACCACCCCAAGAAATACATTTGGTGAGGACACAGGGGACAGTCTTCTGAGTGGATGCTCCCAGGGTAAGGAATTCCCTTCCCAGAGAGGTTAGCTAAGTGCCTTCACTGTCATTCTACCATAGGTTGGTAAAGATCTTTTTGTTTTTGATAGGTCTTTGATGGTTGACTGTTCAGGGTTTATTTGCTGTTTTCTTTTTAATGGTCTTGCCTTCAAATGTTTTTAATATTGTTGTTACCTTAATAATATTTTGCATTTTTGTCTGATAGGAATTTTAAAGGTGTATTTTTAACTTTTGGAATTTGCCATGAGTGCTGGACTGGGGAAAAGGCAGAAAAAATGTAACTATTTCTATTGCCTTGCTTAAAATAATGCTATTTCTTCACAGTGGTCACATCTGCACAAAACAGGAAATTGGGATCTTGGCAAACTGAAGTTGCTTGTTGCTCCCATCTGACTCCTCCACACTAACTAAACTAACAAGAAAAAAGAGATCCTGTGAATTCCAAAAGTTTGATTTTCTCATTTCTTATCCCCTTGTAAAAAATTTTTGCATTTTTCTTATGAAACGTGGCTCGTTTCGGGCAACAAGAACATTTGAATATCACTAACTGGAGAGGAAATAGATCTAAAAACCACATTCGGATTTCTTTCTATACATAGAAACATTTATAGTAGAATAAAATACAGTGGCCTTGGCAAAATGGAATACAAAGTACTTGTCAAAAACCATGTTTCTTTCATAACTACTGGAGAAAATATCTTAAAAATGAAAGACACAGATACTATGGAAGTTAAAAGTACATATGGCACAAAAGGGATTGCAGTTTATTAGCAAGCTCTGAAAGTACATCCAAGCTTCTTTATTCAGAAAATGTCAAAGTTACTTTAATATGAGTATAACAAGTTAACATTAGTACATGTTGGAAGTACATGTATCTACTATGTTTACCTAAAATATAATAATAGTTTATAAATACTTCTATCAAATGTTTTGTATTAAACTTTCAAAGTACAGTGTACTATAAATAGCAATTCAAGAACAATTACCTTACCTCATTATTGCTGTAATGCAAATTCATGGGCTGTCCAAAAGCAACTTTAGCTTTTGATGCAAGATCTTCTAGCCTGATAGGTCGAGGAAACTGTAGAATTCTGTAATAAACATGGTTCAATGGAGGGAGATCCACTAGTATGAAAATAAGTGGCTATTAGGTACAATTATAGCACTTCAATTTTTGTTCAATAATTGGTGAAAGAAGTAACTTTCATAACATTTTGTACATTCTCTTAACAATCAGCAGTGTGTTTTCACACTCTCAGCCTCTCATAAGACATAGGTTAAGGACATAATCTGCTGCAAAAGTTCATAAGAAATACAAATATTGTCTGGCACTAGAAAACTATATACAGAACCTTCCTATTTAAGACCTGAATCTTTAGCTCTGTGAATCAATGCCTCATTTAGTGAAACTGACATGACTTATGATATCTGAACCCAAGCAAATTGAAGCTCTATCTTAAAACATGCTCTCTAGTCACTTCAGGTGAAATAAAGAACACCGTCTTTGTTAAGTAATTCCACAAAATAACTTGAAATTACTCAATGGAAGAAAAACAGAAGAAATTAGCTAATTTGAGAATTATTGTCTCTAAGGACCAATAATAAACTTAGCCAATGTGGAATTCAACCACTATCACATGCATGATGCTCAACAAACTCATCTTCTTTGATATTTTGGGGGAAGTGGCTGAATAGCATAACATTGTTATGTTGCGCTAACATGAAAAATATGGCATTAGAGTATATTTCAACTGAATGGCTTCCTCAATACTTTTATAGGGAGTTAGGTAGATTTCTCATATTTATGTTGGTTGGGCATCTCAAATCAAACCAATAATCTAAAAAATCTATAAAATAATCTGAAATTAACTCTGAGGAGTTAAAACAAAGTGTTCAACTGAAGTTCAACAAGCAACAGCCGTATGGTAAAACAGATTATAATTTTTACCTTTTTTCTCCTCGATGTTCAAATTTGACACGGATGTCATTCTGTAAGAAAAGGGCATGCTTACCAAAACCACAAAACAGGTAACAAAGTCTACTTGTGAAGGGGAGTTTTTGACTACATCTCTCTAGATTATTGAGGGCTAACACATTTGAACAAAATCCTCTGGTAATGGAAAAAACAATTAGGAAGTGGGAATTTGGGAAATGCCTCAGTCTAGTACACAGAACACATCTGTTTGAGATCTGTCTGCAACACTATACTCCTTTCATTTCCCTCCTAATTTCAAAAATATGTGTACCACAAGGTGGAACATTCCTAGGAAGTGGGAATCACTTAAATCAAATGCATACACAGATTCCTCTTTGTGTAAGGCAAACGTGTTGCAAGTTTACCTGCTTTTTTGGCGAAGATGGTTTTGCTTTTCCTGTTTCTTGTAGAGGCAAAGAAGGGCGACTTGCCCTATGAAGGACAGCCAAATCCTGCATGATTGAATTCAAAGCTTGCTGCTCATCTGTTTAATAAGAAAGGAAAAAAAAAACAGTCATCTATATTCACTAAATGTAAAAAAAGTATTTGAAAATAAAAAGCTTTGATTATTATAATTAAAATGGTTCATAAGGTAGTTTAAGAACATTAATGTGTAATTCAAAACTTGTCTGATAACGTATCAGCAACTTTGAATTTCAACTTGCACTATTCGAATAACGGGGTTGAACATTACAAATCTTTGTTTGCTTCATAACAGCTCCCTGCTACATAAAGCATTATTTTCTATCAAGACAGTTATCTGATAAAATGCCACTAAATTACTTCCCTATCTATGGAAACAAAATAGTAACCACCCTCATAAAGAAAAGGAAGAGAACCTATGATTAATTCAAATAGCATACTTAGAAAAGCTCCACTTAGACGTAGGGTAACTTATCAATTAGAAGAAAATGGCATCTCACTAGATGGAGACAAATATTCATTCCTAAAGACTACCCACACCAAGGCAAGGATAAAACCCTATCTACAATGAATGACTAAGATACCTTCACAGGTGAAATCAAATGAAAAAGCCTGTGGGCTTTGCCTTCACATTTTTTTAATTTAATTCCTGGAGCAAAACAAAAAACAAGGATTTGGTAGATGTAAGGATTGTCAGTAAGTTGCTTTATGCAAGGGGAAAAGTCAGGACCTGTGATGCCAACATATAACTTTTCAAGTAAAACTGACTGCCGATTAAGATTATACATAAGATGCTAATAATTTCCCCCTAGTTCACAATTCTAGGACTAAGACGTGCTGATGTATATTTCCAAATATACACCTGAACATTCTCAATCTTTTCTATATCCAATAACAACAAAAGATAGCTGTTGAAATGCTTTACGAAATCCAAGAACTCACCCATAATGGCAGCCCGCCAGCCAGCCAGCCTGAATTTCAGAACGGTTCTCCCATTAGAATCCGTTTACTGCCTAAACAAACAACAAAAGGTAGAGAAAAACAGATAACAACACTGAAGAAATTACTGGGTTTAGAAAGGTCTATGGTGACAACCATTTTTAAAAAGCCATTGCCTAGGCACTAAATATAATAAGCCACCAGCAAAGGGAGATAGAGATGCTTATAATTACCTTCAGCTCAGCTCAACGGCTTCATCATCATGCATTATGGGTAAAACTGCTACACAGAAATATAATATTCATTGTATATAATATCGCAGACTGACCCAATGCACAATGCTCTCAAAGAAGTGCTCCTTTTATTGGATAAGCCAGTTTATCAAAAATTCACTGCCATATTCTTAACAAGTAAACAGACAGGACTCCAAAAATTGACATCCCAATGAACTTTCCCTTTGAGTTTGAAGGTCTGCTAAAGTGGCCCACAATGAGCATGCTCATGTGTCCAGCTCTATCCTTTTCCATAGGAAATGCATCCAGAAAGTTTAAGATGCTGAGTTCAGCCAAATACAAGAAACTTCTGAATGCGTATAGTCAGGTAACATACATACCGAGTTTAAAAAATCTTACATTCCTAGCACTTTTGAAACTACCTCTAAATGGGGAAGGGGAATCTGTAGATAAGCAGAAAATGCACTGTGTGCTAAATTCAAATAGTTTTCCTTTGAAGTGTTACCACCTGCTTTACAAATCTGGTACTTCAGACCTGTAACATTATTTTTCAGAGAGGCAGACTTTTTAGCATCCTTATTGCAAATAGTTCTTAATGCACATAAGAAAAAGGATGACCCTGAAGTAGCTGCTGAATAACTAATATTTTTCACCAACTTTCTCAATATAGGAGATGGGAATTATAGCAGCTATGTACAAAAACAAGGAATTGGGAGAGGATCAACCCCTATATCTACGTGATTGATACCTGTGGTACCAGTTCATTAATTTCCAACAAAATATGTTCTCTCTAGGTATTTTATTAAACATTTCTGTAACTAGTACTTATTAAGTCAAAAGATATCCAATAGAATTCTACCAAAGTTTAAGTCAATAAAAGTATGAAACATGATACTTATAATGCTATGTTGCAATGCAAAGCTAATAAAACAGAGACTTCCATAACTCTGAGAGTACTCCATATGTGCACCTATGATATGTGAATTATAATATATAACATGAACAAAGGCACATAATGCACACTTCATCAAAACACCATTCTGTACAACTACTATATTTCATTGCATAACAGTTGGACTTCCCATTCCCGTTTTTGGGAGGGGAGGTGTTTGTGATTATTATGCGATGACGACTATTATGTGGTGAAAAAAGCCCTATTTGAGGGCTTCTTTCACCATGTAATAGTCAATATGAGAGTACACCTGCATGACTGTGCCGTCATAGAAAGCACCCACTTGGGCAGTTGACTCTTCAAAAGGAGCACCTGCTGTGGGGCTTGACTTGGCTCCCAGCTGAGTCAAGCCTCACAGGACCAAAAGGGCAGCTGCACAGTCGAGTGAACTAAGGGGTGCAACTGTTATGCAGGGAAAGGCAAAAAGGGGGGTGCAAATATTATTTGATGAAATACGGTTATTAATATCAAAGGGCTGTTTAAATTAAAATGTAACAAGATGTATGTCTTTCATTAAATAACAATTGATATAGCACAGCTCTTATTCAAAAAGTAGACTTGCAGGAATGAAAAACAAACTACACACTTTTAATTCGCAATACTATTTAATCCTTTATATCCCTCAAGTGTGCCCTTTGACATCAAATACCAGTGGAAGCTTTACTGCTGAATTCAATAAGATGTAGTGTTATGCAACAGGCCATAAACAACTTTATGGGCTTGGCTATGCAAACTTATTTCTTTACATTAAGGATAGCTGACAGTGGCCCTCCAGATGTTTTTGGACTGCTATTCTGAATTTTTGTAATTACACTAAGATAGAGCTAGTGTGGTATAGTGGTTTGAATGCTGGATTACAACTCTGAAGAACAAGGTTCAAATCCCTGTCAGCTCTATGGAAATGACATGAAATTGTAATGAAAAGCAATTAACAACAACATGATGGTTAAAGCAGACAAAAATTGCAGTCCAAAAACATCTGGGGGGGGGGCACTGTTCATTATGCTAGAGTAATGTAAAAAGCAAACACAATTGCGCAATCAACCCCTCACCTCATACTTTCTGGCATTGAGTTCCATGTACAAGTACTGTTTTCTATCAAAACGATAGAAAATTGTTAGAAAATTGTTAACATGATTTAATTATCAATTTGATAGAAAATTCCAATAACAGCACTACTGCTCACAATATTCTGCATACAACCCTCTTTGCAATGTTTTGACACTATCTTTTAAAAAGCAATGGTTTGCAAAAGTATTGCTAAGTAGTATTCTTCAATGTTTCTTTCATGATAAGAACACTCCTCAGTGTGTGACAGCTTAATATTAATCTGTGCAAGATGAAATGCATTTCCCTCACTGCATATTCAATTTCTCATTTTCACTTTTCTCTCTTTTACTGGTGTGAATTAAAAACTTTGATCTGTGATTTATACCAGGGCAGAGAAAAGTATGGCACACAAGCTACATGTGGTCCCTCTCCACAATGTTTGTTGTCTTCGAATCTCCTACCAGTCTGTCCATGTACCTCAAACTCCCAAAATATTTATTCTGAAAAAATTGCATCATGTTCATGCAATTTTTATCCATTCAAAAAGGCTTGCAAATGCACATAAAACATCCACCCTCCCAATACACTTTCTTAAAGCCTCCCTTTTCCTTCCAAAAATGGCAGTGGGAAATGACAAAACATCACTTCTGGCTGCCATTTTGGTACATCCAGGGGATGCAATATGTTTGAATGTCACTCAAGCTATACACAAGTAGGAAAACAAGATGAGGAGCTGGCTATTTCAGAAAGATTAATAATCTAAGAATAATAATGTGTACATTGACTGGAGAGTAAATTGTAACTTCATCTGGTAGCGCTTATCTCCAAGTATACAAACACACAGGGCCAGCTTACAAAGTTACTGTATATACTCAAGTATAAGCTGGGTTTTTCAGTTCTTTTTTAATGCTGAAAAAGTCCCCCTTGGCTTATACTCGAGTCAATGTTATTTATTATTTTCATCTGTTATTACTGTTCTTACATTCATTATTTTACTCAATTTATTATTAATATTATCACATTTACATTATTTTTCTCTATTATTATTTTACTACCCAGATCAAATACATTTACTTGCTCTGAATCTGTACACTGGTACAGAGAAGAAATTGGAAGCAAAATAACATTGAGAGGAAAAAAGTGATATCCAAAAAAGTGCTCTTCACTTAGGGTAACTGCTTTTGAAGGCTGGCGACTTCAAAATACACAAGAAAATACACACCTAACTTTAAGAGATATCTTCATGGGTTACAATTACAAATGGTATCAAATAATGATTGCAATTCACTGGACTTTCTGTAGCCAGAATGAAATCATCTACAAAGAAAAGAGGACAATAAACTGGTTTGCAAGAACCCCAGGGTTTAGGAAAACATGCAACATACTGGATGTTGTAATAGACTAGATAAGGGCCAGCAAGTTCAATCATGCTAAGATGAAAGGTCTGACATCTGGGAAATGGTTAGGCATCCTGTCTCAGCTGGGCCCACTACCATTAAAGGAGCTGATGTGTAAATTGGGTGTATTCTTGGGCCCACCTTTGTAATTGGAGATCCAGATAGAGTGAGCGGTTTTTAGTACCTGGGATACAGAGCCCCCAGTGGCGCAGTGAGTTAAACCCCTGTGCCGGTAGGACTGAAGACCGACAGGTCGCAGGTTCGAATCCGGGGAGAGGCGAATGAGCTCCCTCTATCAGCTCCAGCTCCTCATGCGGGGACATGAGAGAAGCCTCCCACAAGGATGATAAAAACATCAAAATCATCCAGGCGTCCCCTGGGCAACGTCCTTGCAGACTGCCAATTCTCTCACACCAGGAGCGACTTGCAATCACTCAAAAAAAAAAGTACCTGGGATCAGCTCCGATTACCTTGCTAGCCACAATCTGGGACAAGGACAAGCTTTTCATACATAGCACAGTCATCCCTCCACATCTGAAGATAAGTTTATTCATGGATTTGATTAATACATTGACCATAGAGTCATGTTAAAGATCTAGAGTCTCTTAGGTCTTCCAATGTTTAGGTCCACTAGGGCAATTCTGTAATCAACTTCCAGGCTACAGAGTTGCATTAGAGGACCTAGAGATTCCTAGATTCATTTTTCTGGTCAAAAATAGCTTTTTCTCTGTTCATCTTTTTTCCATCTGCTAATGGGGTTCTGTGTTCCTAACTCCCATGAAAGTGGAGGATAAACTGTAGTTCATGTAATGGCAGTTGCTTGGCTAATAGTGTTCTCTATTTGGGACTGCCTAGTGCAATATGCTACATCTCAGACAGATTGATAAGATTTACAGCATAAAGAATGGCATGGATGCCTATAAACATCTGGTGTGAATCCAAGGAGCTGGTATTTATATTTAAGCCCTAAATGGACTGATATTTGGATACCTCAAGGAATTTCTTCCTTTATACATCCTTCTGGAGATGGATCTGCTGATGGAGGCTTCCTCTGTGTCTCACCAGTTGGAGCAAAACATTACCCACAGACATGAAAGAAGGCCTTCTTCTGAAAGTCTGTTTTGTGCCAATACATTTCAATAATAAACTAATACCTGACTCTATCAAAGTCTTTGGTTTGACCTGCACATATATGTTTTACATTGCTCTTTGCTATTTTAAATTATTCTTCATCTATACAACACCCAGGATCTTATGAGATCGGTTAAGACACAAATATTTTAACAAACGTATAAATCTCATAGATGGTACCTGCACATGCCAGTAAATCAACTAATGATGGGAGTAGGGAGCTCAGTAAATTTGGAGTGTGGCCTTCTGGTATGGTAGGAATGAAAAACTGGGGTAGAAATAGAACAACATACTGTAGAAAAGGCATGTCC